AAACACACACAGAGCAGTTACATGCAAGTCTAGATGTTTTTGTGTGTCTGTGATACATGCACATAGATCTATATCTGCCTTGTGGAGAGATGCTGGGCAAATGAGTGACTGAACCTGAGTACGTTGAGGAAGAGACTTTGGGAACAACAGTTCCCATGCTCCTGGAATTCATGATTAGACCTGAGAAAAGAATTTTCAGGATAACAGTCAGCATAATTAAGAGCAAATTACTGTCAGAGATGTTTGGTTGGCCGATGTGTCCCTTCTGCCTTGATAAGATTGCCTAAACAATGTTGACATGTGTCATGTATAAAACCCATCCTATTTCAGCCCTGTCCACCAAACTCCTATACAATATGTTGTAAAATGCTTTTCTTCTATGCCTTTGTTGTCATGTGCTTGAGTTACAAACAATTGCACAGGGCTCAGCTGCTTACTGTCTCTGTGAGGTTCACTTATGCCCAACAATATGGGCTCTGAGTTCTAGATGATTGAATTAAATCTTGTCTCCAAGTAATCTTCTTCATGCTGTTTACACCTGTGGTCACACTGTCACACTGCATCACCCCTGAAACTCTGTGACCTTCTTTTGCCAGACAAGAACCTTCCTTAACACCCATCTGCCACAATAGTTCAACAATCCCACATGAGTCCTGCAAATACACGTGTTCACAGTGGGCTTGACCATGTCCCCTGGTTTATTTTCAGGCTGAACTTGTTTATGTACTTTGTATATGGCAGTGAGAGTTGTTCCATAAAACAGTGACTTGGAGCCAGGCACAGGGATGCATGCCAGCAATCCCAGCACTGTAGGAAACTCAGGCAGGGGGATTGCAAATGTAAGCCCATTGTGAGCAACTTAGTGACTTGGTGAGACACTGTCTCAAAAAAAATTTAAAAAGGTTTGGGTAGGGAATATAGCTCAATGCAAAAGCCCTGGGTTCAAAGCTCAGACTGTACACACATATAGACACAGGCACACACAAAGTGACTTGATTTATCTTGACTTTGTGGGCTAGCTTAAGGGTTGCCTTCCTCACATTGAAAGTTGGTCCATGGAGGAAAATGTAGAGCGCTGTGCTTCTCAGATTTTCTTTCTGTCTCTGTGTGCATGCAGAATTGACTTTAAAAATACTGACACACCTTTGTGTGAGGTGCTGGGCAGTGGTTGTGGTCTGGATTCTTTATTTCCACCTCTGTGAACGAGTAGTACCATCATTAAATAGCAGGAGGTATTATATATCTTGGTGTAGTTTCTCTTGATAACAAATATTTGGAGTTTTATATGCCTCACATATCTGTATCTCAAGTTCTTTTTCCATGCTTGGAAAGTTTTTTGCTATTACTTTTGTGAATATGTTTCTTATACCCTTTGTGCAATTTTCTGATTTTTTATTGATTCCAATTAATGTTATATTAGTCTTCTTTGCATTGTTTAGCAGCTGTTGGACTGTGTTTTCATGGTCTCTTGCTATTTTTAAGAAGTCTTTCATTTGATGATTACCAACAAGAACCTGTCTTTGAGATCTGATATGCTATCTCTGATTGGATGACTCTGCTGTGTATACTTGAAGTTCAATTTTTAGTCTCCTGGATTTCTGAATTCACTTTTGTCCTTAATTTCCAATTTCACTGCACAATGGTCCAATAGTATGCATGGGATAATTTCAGTTCCTTTACATTTACTTAAGCATGTTCTATGTGCTAGCATATCATCTATTTTAGAGAACATCCCATGTGCAGCTGAGAAGAATTGTATTCTGATGTTGCTGGGTGGAACACTGTAAATGTCTACTTAGTCTATTTGTTTGCAAGTTTGGTTTAGTTCTGTTATTTCTTTGCTGGTTTTTTTGTCTAGTTGATTTATCCATTTGAGATAATGGTGTGTTAAAGTCCCCTGTTATGATTGTGTTACTGCTTATTTCATTTTTCATGTCTATTAAAATTTGTCTCATATAGCTGGGTGCTCCTGATTTGGTGCAAAGATGTTTATGATTGTTATCTCTTCCTCTTGCAGTTTTCCTCCAGGTATGTAGTGACCTTCTTTATCTCTTCTGTTCATGCTTGGTTTGAAGTTCACATTGTCTGCAAAGAGAAATCTAGCCCTACTTTTTTTTGGTTCTTGTCTCATAAATAATTATTTTCCATCCCTTGACTTTGAATCTATGAATGTTCTTTTGAGTTAAATGTCCTTCCTGTATACAGCATATTGTTGGATTTTGTTTCTTGATCCAATCTGCCATTCAGCTTCTCTTTTGTGA